CCTGATTTTCCAGTTCATCAGAACATAAGCAAAACTTTTGATAATAGGACAAAAGCTTATCTGGCTCATCATTCTGTGAACCAGTAGCCAACCAGACGGAAGCTTATAAATTGGATATGCAAGTGATCACTTGTACTTCAACTGCTGGCATTTAAAGGTTTGCTGCTTATGATTCTATAGCCATCAAAACTTAATTCAAGAGATAATAGGAAAAACATACAAAAATCATTTAATGTATGTATGAGAGCTCATTAAAAAGTGAAAGCTAGAATATTTTGGACATGCGATGCGACACCCAGAAAAATATGCCATCCTTCACTTAAATCTCCAGGGAAAAATTGAAGGCAAACGAGGTCCAGGCAGAAGAAGAACATCATGGCTTCAAAACCTAAGGGACTGGTTTGGACAAAACTCAGCACTTTTTCACGTGGCTGTTGACAAAAATAGGATTGCCAATATGATCGCCAATGTCCGATGATGGATATGGCACAAGAAGAAGATGAGAGCTAATGTGGTATAGTTGATGAGGACTGGGGAGACTCAAGGTGAAGTCTGCCTTCAACATAGATGCTCACAAGTTGATCGTGGTCATTTTCACTCAGCCCAGGCTACCTCCTGAAACTGGAGGGGAGGGTGTTATGTTTACCACTTTGATATCTTGGAGAAGAAACCTATCAAAGAAACACTGCTAGCCAGTTTCATTTCATAGGGCTAAATACAGATTAAGAAACTACACATTATTGTAGTGTACAGATCAGAACTCCAAGAGAACACCTTAATATCTGCTGGGATCATGTAAGTACAAATTTGAAAGGAAGCAAACAATTAGGAGGCAGTTTTAGACAAAAAGTAAAGGCTCAGTACTTTTACTACACAATCTGTTTTAAAGGAAATCAAAATGTTACAAGGATGTATTTCATTACTCTTTATTTGAAAAGAACGGTATAATTATTGTGCCAAAAATATTCTGCATATTTTTTTTCTACTGTTGATCATTTAAACTTAAGGGGAGAAAAGTTACTTTCTTCTTTTCCTCCCACAGGGAAAAAGATTAACTTTGGTGAAATTCCTATGAGAGGAGCGTGGTGTTTTTGCATTTATTTAGTGGCAATGTACACAGCGTGTGCCTGTGAGTCCATCTGCATGCATACATGCATGCTCAGTTTACATTTGTCTCTCCAGCTCTTTCCCACGCTTCAATTGGGAAGCCATCATGAGGGACTAATTCCCATGCTGGTTTGTATACATTAGTCAATGCAGGCTTCTGAATGATGGAAAAATATCTTGCAAAATAAATACCACCAGCACTATTACTTTGCAACAGTAAATAATCCCATGAGCTTCAATTAAAAAAACCCTTCTAAAACAACTGGAACATACTTCCAAATGAAGGAGAAAAACTGAAGCTTCTTTCACAAAACGAACATTTCTAGGCTAGTAAATTATGGATTGTGGAACTGCATTGTCTCATATACTTGTTATTCTATGAAGGTTGGTTGAATGGTGGTACCCATAACTTTAGTTTAAATAGAAATATTTCATTTGAGTCAGTCAGATATCCACAATGATTTTCCTTCAGTTTTGGAAAAGATGGAAAACACATTCTAAGACTGTATTATAGATGGGCTGCTATGATGATTTACATTTTTCTGGTGGCTTTTCAGGTGTGAGGCTATGGACTGTCACATTGGAACAATGTTTCCTTCTTGAGTTTTGAGCTCTGCTTAATCACTGATTCAAAGTTTTCAGTGCTAAAAGGTGGCTCTCTGAATTTACAGTGTGCTACTTTCAAGGAAATGCCTGTGCCCAACACCATCTGCATCCCCATAAACTGTAACTATAGGTTTTCTTGCTGAAATCTGTTTTTTTAATTGTTTTAAAAATGAAGTGCTGTAACCATATTTCATGGACTAATGCTTTATTTCTAGATTATAATGTGTTGTCAATCAGCTCCCACACCTTCATTTTTGTAGTATGACAGTGACTGCCTATTCAACTCCTGAAGCTTTCATTTGTTCCATCAGTATGTGAAGAGCTCATTTTGCATATAGAATCCAATGCTGAAGAACATCAATAATGTAACTTATATTCTCCTGTGAAATGCCAAGCTTGACAGCAATTTCTTTACTGATTGTCCTTAATCAGTTCATCAACTTTTCTCAGGTAAAATTTATCAGTTGCTGTCATAATCTGTCCACTTCATTCTCAGCAGCATAAAACATCCTCTTTTTAATTCATGTTTATGTTTTTTTGGCCCAGCAATTCCCAGTAGTCATATCAACATAGATCATCAGCTACTAATCATATTTCAGCAGTATACCATTCTACCCATTGTTACATCCTCTAACCCTCATAGCTTCAACCTTAAACTGTCCACCGTAGACCTCACCCCATTACTAAGAGGTCCGTAAAGGGGACATGCATAAGCACACCAGCATGTCTACTATCCCTGTCCTACTGTCCCCATTTATTTGTATTCATTTCTTTCGTTCATATCCATGTTTATATTTATACTTGCTATCTTGTACGTGCTTGACAAACTAATAAATACAAACATATTGCTTAAAGTGGACTGATTTCATGCTTTTATTTCACAAACAGTAAATGTCTGTGGAGATTCTCAGTCATCTAGGTCATAGTCAGAGGTGGGATTCACTTACCTCCCCTACCAGTTCACAAATGTGAGCGCATTTGCACATGCACTTGCACACGCCCACACGTGCCTTGTCTGCGCATGAGCACTGCCTTCTGTGCATGCACAGTGCTCGTGGATTATGTCGGGGCGGGAGGATGGAGCCTTTCACAGCTGCTGCTATCAGTTTGCCCGAACCAGAGAGAATTGGCTGATTACCACCTCTAGTCATAGTTGTCTCAAAGGTGCTTTTTCAAAAGGCAACTGGCTGTCTTCTTCCTCAAGGAAAAAGCAGCCCAGTTGCCTTTTGAAAAAGCACCTTTGAGTTCACAAACAGTAGCAACACAAACTTTATTTATTTATCATATTTAGAAATCACCCATCTCCCTCACATAGAGACCCTGGACAATGTACAAATAAAATGTTAAAACATGTAGTAGTAGTTGTTTAGTTGTAGTTTATTCAATTTGCATGCCGCCCTATTCCCGAGAGACTCAGGGCGGCTAACAACCAAAGGGGGAAGGGGATACAAATAAGAAAATAAAAGACAAACAGATTAAAATAGAACAACAGTCGCAGCTTCAAATGGGGCTGGAAATTCATCAGCCCCAGGCCTGCCGGAAGAACCAGGTCTTAGTGGCTTTGTGGAAAGCCTGGAGGGTGGTGAGGGTCCGGATCTCCATGGGGAGATCATTCCAGAGGACTGGAGCAGCCACAGAGAAGGCCCTCCCCCGGGGAGTTGCCAGTTGACACTGGCCAGCAGATGGAACCCGGAGGAGGCCTAATCTGTGGGATCTGATAGGTCTTAGGGAGGTAATTGGCAGGAGGCGGTCTCTCAAGTACCCAGGTCTGATACCATGCAGGGCTTTAAAAGTAACGACTAGCACCTTGAAGTGTGTCCGGAGCCCAATGGACAGCCAGTGCAGCTCGCGGAGGATATGTGTCACATGGGTGTACCGAGGTACACCCACAATCGCTCAAGCGGCTGCATTCTGGACAAGCTGAAGTCTCCGAATACTCTTCAAGGGCAGCCCCATGTAGAGCGCGTTACAGTAGTAAAATGCAAAATGTTAACATCATAAAAACTGGATATAAAAATTTAAAATATGGTAAGAATATAGTTAAAAAGTGACGTTAACAGATAATATTGATCTTTCACCTAAATAAGCATCATGGTAATACTGTTCAAATTCAGTTTGGGAAGGAGCCCATCTTTCTAAATATACATTTTCTCACAATAGTAACTTTCCACCAACTGCAGTGAAAGAACATATGTTTAAAACACATATAAGGTTATAGCACATAAGTATTGCCATCTGTTGGCAACTTATATAATTGGAAACACTACATTTCATTCAACCCTCTTATTTGCATTCTGTTTTCAGGTTCCTTCAAGTGAACCCAAGAAAAATACACTTTCCAATCCTGAAAATCTTTGGTGAATTTGATACTACAGCTAGTCATCGCTTAACAGCACTAATTGGGACTGAAACTTTTATATTGAAGCAAAGAGATCATTGGGGAAAATGTCACGTGACCGCACCGCTTAGCAACAACACTTCCAATAGTCCTGGTTGTGGTTGTTAGGCAAGGATTCACACATCTCCTGGTGTGATAGAACATGTAGATGACCTTGGGGAACGGGGGAAAGAGATGCTGTCTAGAAAACCATGGGATAAAAGAGCCCCCAGTGGCTTAATATGTCAGACAAAGAGACTTAGGAATGACCTGCTCTAATGGATCAAGCAGTTAAAAGCAGAGATGGAAAGCCTGTATTGTCAGACATGCAAGATTCTCTTCATGTAACCTCATAATAAAGTAGAATTAATTCATTTAATAATGTCTCCTGTCTGGTTTACTGGGAGTGGCTGACACCTGTCCTGCATGAACTGTTGGCTCCATATTGCTACCTCTTCCTAAGCTGGGCCTGGAAGCTCCCTTTGGCAGATGATGCCACACAACTCTTCTGCACTCATCACTTCAACTCCCTTCCATATAACCTATCATCTCCGCCCTTCATAAAGGACTGTGATGGCAAACCTATGGCACATGTGCTAGAGGTAGCACGCAGAGCCCTCTCTGTGGGCACGAGTGCCATTGCCAGCTGCTCTTTTGGTTTCCAGTGCGCATATGCACACTAGCTAGCTGCTCCTCATGGGCGCCAAAGCACTGGAAATTGGCCCGAAAAATGGACAAAACCAGGCAATAAACAGGCCATTTTTCAGGCTGGTTTTGGGTCATTTTCAGGCCATTTTCCAGACCATTTTTGTCCCCAAAACAGATGAAAAACAGCCAGCTGGTCTTAGGTTTCCTGTGCTCTGGCACAGGTACATGCATGTGTATTCCAGTTTGGGTACTCAGTGCCGAAAATCATCACCATCACTGATCTAGGATATATATGCCCTTTAAATAGTTTAGAATACATATTGTTTCTCGGAGCACACAGGATAGGTACAGAGTGAACAATCAGAAAATAGATTCCCATTCAAGATGAAATCTTTAACACACACTTTGTTGCAGGACCATTTTATTTTGCTGCTACTCAGTGCATCTAATACCTGCTGAGTGTACCACTTACTTGTCATTGTCTCAAGACGAAAGATGCAGCACACAAAATCAGGAAAGTTTATTCTCTGGGTTGCGTCTCCGTAGCGTAAAACCAGGAGCTTGAGGACTTTGTCAGTGACATGCAGGCCTACAAGCAATCAGAAAACCATATGTTCTCAAATTGACACAGCATAAAAATGCTCAGCAGCTGTAAGGATTTTCTACTCCTATCATTTCACACAGAGCAACTTATTACAACAATATTGTTTGAAACAGCTAACAAATTGGAAATAAATCTGTATGTGTGATTTGGAATTGCACCAAATTACAACATAAACTACTGATGTTGGATGATTTCAGCAAAATTACTCCTATGTCCATGTATATTTAAAATCCCAAGTTAAAATTCACTAATGAAAGCAATTTTGTTTTTTGTACAAATCAGGAATTTGCAGATCTCCGTGTGTGTGCATGTTCACGCATGCACACATGTCAGGCTGCATTAGTTCAGATTAGGATAACCCTTTAAAAAAATACTACTTCCAAGAAGCCCCAGAAAAACAAAGAATGGAATAAAGCTATCAGCAGCCTACCACCTTAAAGCAAGCCAGGGGCTTAAAAAAAGTTAAAACAAATTGAAAGAGACAGTCTTCTGTAAAAACACTTTTTAAAATAGATTTTTAAAAAGTAAACACACACTACTCCATTCTTTGTGAATTTTGGTGTGCTGTTGTTTGCTTGATCCTAAATTCCTCTGAGGAGAAAAACTTAAATCTGGCCCAAGATTAATGTATGGTGAATTTATTTATAGCTCAAGTGATATTGTCATGCTTGAAATCAAAATAATATTAAGAACTAGACTCAGGTTGAAACTTGACCTTTACCTTAGCCTGTGGATAACTAAACATAATTCCCCAAAATAAAAGCATTGGGTTTTAGAAATGGAGAAGCAGGGATAAGAGATGGTTCAGTGAATAGATTTCTCTTCACTTGCAGCTACTCAGACTTCATGACAGAAAGACAAAAACTCCAATTGTAATGGAGGGATTTTTTTATCTTGAACAATTCATCCATAAACTCTTTTACTCCTACAGAAATGAAACAAATGTTTTTAAGGTGCAATGAACTCCTCCATTCTTTTTTTCTTTTCTTTGAGAAATAATTAAATGACCTCTTGAAGAACAGAGATTCTTATGTTTTAAAAACAACGTTATCTTAAAGGGCTCTTTCCCATCTATGTCCCAATGCAGGGAGTAATACTACTAAATTTAGTTCTAATGAGTTTGTTTAAATCATCTCACTGCAACATTACTGTTCTAGTGCAGTAATAGATTTTGACATCAGTGAAACAAGTTATAATGAAAGCTAAAGATGGGATACAGGTAACCTGAATTTTGGGATTACTAGTAAAATTTCAGGCAACCAGGAAGATACTAATAAAAGAATATTTGATGCTCAGGGTTGACATGAAGAGTCCTTGGTGCTCTCGGAGATGGTTTGTTTTCTTGCAGACGTTTCATTACCCAAACCAGGTAATATCATCAGTGCTACTAAGGAGTGCAGTTTGCTGTGAGTTTATATTCTGGTGGCTTGTCTGTCAGTTTTGATGAGGGTAGTTTAGAGATTCTTTAATTGGGCTGTTTGCTGTTTGCTTCTTTGGCAGTTTCTTGATTGGAATATTGTTTATTTGATAATTATTGGTCTGATGTTAACCTTGGAGTTAATCTATGTTGACCTGGTTCTGATTGCTGGTGGAGAGGTCTTTTTGTTCCTTTTTGGGGTCTCTTTTACATAGCCTAGAGATGTTGCTAATGTCTATTTGTCTATTGATGGCTGATTTGTCAGTGCCAGAGTTTCTAGAAATTCCCTGGCATTTTTGTATTTGGCTTGGTCTAGGAGGTCACATTTTCTCAATTGAAACTATGGTTAAATCTGCCTCTATGTTGTGAAATTAAAGAATTTTCATCATGTCTTCTGACTGATAGTTGGTGTTTGTGGATGTGTTCTGCCAATGTTTAGCCTTTTTGTCCTACATAGTTGTTAGGAATATAATCTAATGGTTGGGTTGGCAATATATAAAACATGTAACAATGCTATACCTGTTTCTTTAAATCATACTGTAAAATGTGATTGGTTGCTGTTTTCCTATATCGGCCATAAGAGGGAGCCAGAATGACTGTTAGCTCTCTATTTGTTAGATTCTGGGCTGATCTGATCTGAGTGTTTTGGAAGCTGGCTGTTAGACAGTGCCGTGGACTGTGGTAAGTTTTGCAACTGCTAGAAAACTTTGAGTACGGGACTGTTTGTATGATTACGGACTATGTTATTTGGATTATCCCTTAACTGAAAGACATTGATGACTGACTATCTTATCCGTGTATGACTTGGACTGTTTGATGGACTCTGATACCTCTATTTCCATGAAAGTAAAAGCCTACTTAAACTGCAGTGTCTCTGTATGCTGGTTTGTGTGTTCTCCAACAACACTCTCACAACCCTTCTCTGAACGTACTCGCTCTCCCAACGGGGAGCTTACCTAACACTAGTGGCTTTTGCAGTCCTTACATTGTATTGTGTAGATAACTCCTGTTTTTTTTCTGGGGTTGTTGGATCTTTTGGTCTGCTTAGGATATTTTGAAGGCCTTTAGTTGGCTTGTATGCTATGCTGATTCCATGTGGTTGTAGTGGTCTGTTGGTGGTTTCTAAGATATTCTTGATTTATGGTACTGTAATCCATTTAAGGGTTTGTGTTATTTGTGCTGTATTAGGTTGTGTGACTTTTTGATAAAGTTGCGAAGATATACATTTTGTTGCAATATGTTGTACAATATAAATGCTCTATTTCCCTTTTCTGCTGTTCCGAGTTGCTGCAGTATGTTTGGGCTCATCATTGCAAAGAGGATTTTTGAGGCCTCTTTGCAACATTACTGGGCTCTCGTGTTCCACAATTTTCTTTGCATAAAATATGAATACCAGTAATGAATACAATGTGGTCATTGAATGCAGAAATAAAGGATTTGACTTGATGATACTTAGAATAAGAATTTATCAAATACATTAGGATCCCCTGTTAATACTGTACTAAATTCCAATGATTTCAATGGATCTGTTTTATGAATGAATGTGTGTAGATCTATTTAACTAAAAACTTTGTGGCAGAGCATATCCTAACAATCAGTTTGGAAATTTCAGGTGCTCTGATTTCAAGTTATTCAGTACCCTAACATAGAAGAGATGACAATGAAAGACAATTGTGCTGCTCAGGGCACTTTCTGTTGTTATTGTTGCTTTCTATAATTCTTTTCCCATTGCAAGCTTGGGAGAGTATGAATTATAGGGTTTGTCTAAATACTTCCTACATATGGGACAGAAGTAGGTTCTTACTAATTCAGACTGGTTCAGCCAAATAAATAGTAACTTGCTGGCCTGGGTCGCTGGAACCGCAATGACCCAGGCCTACTCCTGAACCAGTTCTCCTATGGCAGTGAAATCTTTTTGGTTCTGCACATGCGCAGAACAATTTTCATTGCAGAAATGTATTTTTTTCCTTTTTTATCATTTTGCGCATGCGCAGACATTTTCAGATGCAAATTTTGCCCACCGAACTGGCAGTAATGCCGGCAGCAACCCACCCCTGATATGGGAGTGGGAAAGTGGGGAGTGAGGATGGATTTAAGATCCTTTAGCTTTGTATAACACCCCATGTATCTTTTTCCAATCTTTGTTTGTTTCTATACAACACCCATCTTATATATAACAGAATAACAGAGTTGGAAGGGACCTTAGAGGTCTTCTAGACAAATTATATATATATATATATATATATATATATATATATATA